GTGGCCTGGGCTCTCCTGGGCATCGGTCTGCAAAGGTCTGATGTGTCGCAGCGACCGCTCCCCCGGCCCGATGGTGTGACCTTCTCCTCCGGCTGCCTCTGCGGGGATCTGAAAACGTGGCTGTGGTTTTTAAATGAGGCGACTGACGCAGTTTAACCCAGAGTTCAAATGGCTAAATCACGTGGAAGTTACCGAAAGAGTGGGACAGAAAGACGTAAGTGCTCACTAAGTGCTCACGGAACAGCCCCGGGCCCTCTCTTTCCTGTTCCTGGGGAGCGGCAGGCGAGGCTGTGCCCCGACACCCACCCTGCTGCCCACGGGCACTGGTGGGTGGGGAATGGGCTGGGGAACAGCCGGGTCAGGCGTGGTGCTGGGCCAGTCTCAGAGGTCTGTGTGATTCCCATTAAGGTTTTGTGGAGGGCAGATGGTCAGAGGTGTTCGATCTGTAGGTGCCAGGGACAGGAGCTGTCCGGGATGGAGGCTGGAGCTGTGGCCTGGCTGACCCCTGTGGGCACTGCCCTGTGCAGTGTGTCCTGCTGCTTTCAGGCCTGAAGGTTTAAATGTTTATCATGTGTTTACATATGTAATGGTCATGAGATGTGTGGCTGGGTCAACCTCAGTGTGTGGACTTTGTTGTGTGGTTCCCAAAAGTTCATCTGCTCAGTCCCAGATCCCTGACGTGGAGTTGTGAGTGTGTGACATCAGTGGCTGTTTCTTTGCTTTTGTTTTTATAAATCTGAAACTCTGTTGCACCCTGCCTCCCCTCCTCCATATATTTTACATTTAAAATCTGTCTGGAATCAGGATTTTGCAATGTAGTTGGTCCTCGCTCATTGTGATATACCTGCATGAAATTCCAGGTTTTGGGAATCTCGCGAGTGTTTGCTTTAGAGTTCCACTCTAATTTGTGGATTTTAAGGCATATAGGGATTCTGTTGATCTCAATTAATATTCTAAACCTTTGGACATTTACCAAGCACCATTAAAAATAAAAATGACACATTAGGGAAGTAGGGGAAATATTTTTTTTTTATTTTTGGTATGCCATGGGAAAAGGTCTGACACCATGCTGGGGGTGAGGGACTGACAGCGACACTGAAACTCTAACTGGTGGCACTTGGTTGTAGTTGAGAATCCACAGGAATTTACAGACCCCGTACCAGAGCTTTGGGAAGGAACAGATGAAGAATGTCTGGTTTTATGTTTAGTCATAAGCTGAAAGTTCAGACCATATTTGTCAAAATGTTTGCAAAACGTCGTGATCCGGCATGATCCCATGTCCAGTTGTGAGCAAACATGGGCTCATTTTATGGTGTTCTGCTTATGCAAAGCTGATCTTGCCATACTTATAGGGGTTTTTTTAAACCCAAACTGCAGCAGTGTTAGTTGCTTCTGTCTCTGTGTCTTTGTTGTTCTCCCCTTTTCAGTAGTCAGTTTACAACTCGGGAAACTTCCAGGTCTAAACAAAGTATGTGATAGTTGGGTAAACCTTTAGTGTGAAATGGTCTGCCCTTTCCGCAGAGGTGTTTTAGGAGGAGAACAGATATGTGAATATGAGTTACCTGGGTGTGTGAGGAGCTGGCTTGGGGTGTCTGAGGCATGATGTGCTGGGAAAGATGTGAAAGGATTAATTTACCCAGTGCTGAAAAAAATTGGCTTCAGTTCATCCAGCGAAGTGAGGAGCAAGGCTGGGGAGATGGAGCAGGGGCTTGGTTTGACACTGGTCTTATTTGGGACTTGTCACTCACAGGGTGGGTTTGTAGCAGGAGAAGGGGCACAGGAGCGTTTCTTGACTAGTGAAGTTCTTGGAGGAGGAGTTTTTCAAAGTGAATTATAGGTAGCATTCCTTTGAACAAGGGTGTTGATCACCACCCTTTCCCTGGTGCCTGCATGTAGGTTCTTGTTGTTCTAATATCAGTGATCTGCTGGGGTGAGGAAGCAATATAAATGTTTTCAAAGCTTGCAAAGCAATTAAAAAGTTATTCAAATATATATTGGGGAAGAGTTTTCATCTGCCTATGCCAGTGATCTTTCGCGGCCACAATTATGTAGATTTACGTAGGCAAATAAATACCAAGCCCTGCCATGCAGGGAACTGAATGTTTTTGCCATAAATGACAAAAGATCTTCCACAAAGCACCAGATTCCCTTTCCCAGCAGGTTGGCTCCCTTGTTTAGAGGGCAGAGCCTTCAGAGTCTGTTTAATGGAGTTGGGGAGCTCTGAAAGAACCACATAAATAATCTTTTATGTATTTTCTTAACAAACACAACCAGAACACAGCCTTGTCCTGTAGTCCCTGTGGGCAGGTTTGGGCTGGGGACCCCCAGCCCCTGCAGTCCAGTGAACACCCAGGCTGGGGTGCTGGTCCTCCCTGGGACAGCTGGGACTGCTCTCCAGGCAAGTGAGAAACACGTGGAGGTGGATTTGCTTCACAAAGGTGTGTGTGAACCCAGCAGAGGTGTCCAGACCTTTAGCTGGAATACAATGCTGTGGGATAGTGGAATCCTGCTGCTGCAGACCAGTGGTCTCGGGCCAAGAGAAGTTACCCTGGTCTTGGAGAAGGTGCAAGGACCAGATGTTTGAAAATTTTTCACTCTTATCTGTTAGGACTAAAATGAAACACAGTGACAGAAGGGTGAAGCACATGTTATTTCTCTTCCTGTAGTTTCTTTGTTAAGTAAAATGAAAGCATTCAGCCTCCAGAGCTGCTGCCTGAAAGCTTTAGTGGAGACTTTATGCCCTGGTGGGTTTTCCCTGTATGATGATAAAATCAATTAAAAAAAAAAAGCCGCACTGAAAAATACAATTATAAAAGATATTATATTTGTACAGAGCAGATTGGTGGCTTCCAGCTGTTACCTTGGTACAGACAGAAATGCTTTATCACTGTGTCAAAAGCATGGGAAAACCAACGAACCATTCTTTCTGGATTTAAATGCACCTGGATTTTCTAGACAGTGGTACCTGTGTGTTCACAGACGGCTCTGGGATGTTCTTGCCTCTTCCTGCACCAGCAGAGTTTCTGCAGTTTGGTGTGGATGTGTTTGTGTTCATGTTAGTTCAGGGAAGTCCTGAGGAAGACTGTACAGTGTAACTGTGCTCCTTACTTTATAGAAGGATCCTCTTGAAACCCTTGCTTAGATTGAACATCACATCTTATAGAAATATTCTGACATTTTTTGCCCAAGGGTGACAAATAGTTATGTTTAGTTCTTAATTTTATAGAATATGTCCCTTAAGAAAACTTCTATATGTTTATATGTGTATATATATATAACCAAAGATATTTCAGGCTTTGTATGTACCTGTGAGGATTTGCTGTGTGGTTTTTTGATTTTTCTTTTTAAATTTATTTTATTTGTCATCTTCCCCCCCACCAGTTGTTGTCATAGAATCCTTCCTTAAGCTGTGCATTGCCACCAACCCTTTGCTCTGTGACCCAGGAGATACACGAGTGAGATTCCCAGCACAGTCTGGGTCCCCTTGATTGGGCTGGTGGAGGCCAAGTCTGAGAGACTGGTGCTGCCCATCCTCGTGCTGCCTGCGAGGGCTCTGCCTGCTCGAGGGGGAGCTGTTGGATGTTCCCAGGGCTGTCAGGCTGCTCTGGTGGTTGTCGTGTGTCGTGCCTGGCTTTGTGAGAAACAGCAGAAAATTGGTTTGGGTTTGGGTCTTTTGGATGATCGTTTCAGAGACCTATGGCCTGGAGCTCTAGAACATGCCATTCCAGGTACTCCTCTGTGTGTTTTGAAGATCCAGGTGGGTTGTGTCACATCCTAATGCAATCACAGCGTCAGTGAAACAGCACATAGTGAATACATTGGCACATGCAATAATGGTTATATACAGAGAAAAGAGCACTTGGTGTTTTGTGTTGAAACCTCTTTTGTTTGTTGCTGGTTCTCATCTGTTGTGTTTCTTTGGGACATTTGCATTCCTGAATGACTTCCTGAAACGTGCACAGTTGTACAGACCTGAAACTACAAGATGTTTATACTTTCCCGAAGTGTATTTGATCTTCTGGATTTAGAAATTTCAACCTCACTCGAAGCTTTCAGCTTGAGATGCAGTTTTTGATACAGCTTTTCTTTAAAGGGGAGGCAGAGGAAGAAATAAATAATGGGGTCAAGGCAGATGTTCGCAGCAGACAGCACCAGAGTGAACTCCTTGGCATAGTACAGTGATTTTTGGGACTGGCAGGTGAACTGGGAGCTGGTCTGGCTCAGGGTGTATGGGGTCCTGCAGAGGTGGTAGGGCACAAAGCAAATGACAAACACAAACATGATGCTGAATATATTCCGGCTGGTTTTTCTCTTGGCCGTGTCTGAGCTCCTTCGGAATTTTTTGTAAGAGCTGTATATTTTTTTGGATATAGCAGTGTAAAATATGATTAGCAGAACAAAAACAACCCAGAAAATCCCTGTGCAAATATAAGTTGTCGCTGTGTGCCACTGTCTGCCAAGCTCACTTTTAAGACCTATACATTTTCTGGAATAATTGTCTTTAGTGATTTCATTAGTTAGAATCATATTTGGAAATGATATAAGCATTAACGACAGCCATATGATTATAGAGACCACCTTGCTGTAGTTCACTGTGTGAACAAAGGAGGTGAACAAAGGTTTTACAATTTTGTAGTATCTGTCAAACCCTATGAGGCCGAAAAAGGTGATCCCAATGTACATGTTCATGTAGAACATGACTGCAGAGTATCTGCACACAAACAGGTTGAGCTCTGGAGGTGCAATCTCTGAATCAGCCAGGATTTTGAAAGGAAACGTCAGGCTCATGAGGAGATCGGCCACGGCGATGTTTTTGAGATAGACAATAAAACTCTTTGTGCTGGAAACGTGCAGGAAGACCCAGCCTGCCAGGGCGTTCAGGGAGAGCCCCGTGAGGAAGATGAAGGAGTAGAGCAGTGGAATGACTGTCGTGGTCACTGCTGTGCGGGGGCTGCAGTTGTTTCCCGAGGAGTTTGTGCTGGTGTTGAACATCCTACAGCGCCTTCGTTCCTAGAAGCAGAGAAACAGTATCTCAGTAGGACAGAGTGATGCTGAGCTTTCTGTTAGTTACTGTAAGTTTTCTACTCTTGCTTCCAAATAAACGTGGCCTGCCTCTCAGAAATGACCACGTTCCCACACCACGGCTCCCAGCAGTGGGGCAGAGTATTTTTCCAAGTGGTGCCACTTCACTCACTGTCTGGTGATGTTCAAGGGCATGCTGCTGCTTTGAACAGAGGATCCATTTGCTTCTCTGTTTGACTTTAACCCATTGCCTTCCAGCCCTGGGCTGCCTCTTTCCTGGGCATGAGTCCAATTTGGGGTGATACTGCTGAAATTAGAAGGACCTCCTGAAAAGGCACCAATAGCAAATGGCATTTTTTATTTAAATAGTAACACACTGTGTTTAAAAATTATTCTTTCTGCTGTGTCCCTGTTCTTTTCCTCTTGCCAGACTGTCTCAGCAGGATCCTCTCTCTGCATGTGGTGTGTTTAGAACTTGTTCCTGCTCTGTAGGGTTTTCTAAAGTGAGGAACCCGTAGGTGGGTCTTTCTATGCTTGGATTTGGAAGCAGATACTTAATGAACTTCCTAAGCCATTTAATATGTTTTGTGCTGAGATTATTTCAGAACTGTGTCATTAGAGATGTGGATATGAAGTCTTTGTAAAGTCTGTTGTGTCTGTGCAGCATGGAGGACACCCCAGGCAAATTTTACGTTTGATACCAGCACATTTAGCAATGTCTGTTGTTGAGAGGCAGCCACAGTCCCAGCCAGACTCTGCACATCTTTCTGTATCATTGCAAGTCCTTACCTTTTCTGCCTTGCCTGCTGTGGAGCTTTGCTAAGGGTCTAGAGCACTGTCCATTCTTGGGCACGGGGCCTCTGCTCTCGCTGTGAGTCCTGTGGGAGAGACAGGAAGACAGTGTTTTATTGTGACACAGGACAGTGTGACCCCACGGTGCTGAGGGGCTCCTGCAGTGCAACACTTGCTTAGACCACCTCAGAATCAGCATTCAGCCAAGGCTTCAGACCTGTCAGGACTTGGGAACTGTTGGGGGCAGAGCCATGGAGCTCACACCCAACCTCAGCCCTCACTGCGTGGGTAAGGCTGGAGGCCCCTGTGGCCCCTTGCAGCAGTTAGGTTCATGGTCAGTGTTACCTGCTCTCTTTGTCACCTCGCCACACACTTGGCTCTTTCTGGAAGGCCTTGTCCTGCTGCTGTGAGTGGTTCAGGGGGCAGGGAGCACTCTCCCATCACTGGCCTGTCCCCGTTAGCCCACAGGGTGGCTCCTGTGGCTGCTGCTGGTGGGAGGCAGAGGGCACACGTTAGTGCCAGCTTTTGGGACGGGTGTCACAAACAGCCTTTTGTACTCGAGCAGCAGTTCTTGGCCCAGAATGCCTGGGCCAGCATGAAGTGTATTGATTTGTGTAAATAATGTCGACTTGTTGTGTGAACCAGCAAACTTGATTCACTGGATGAACGAGATTGATTTGGTAAAATATAGAAAAGCTTTGAACTTCCTCAGCTTGCAAATGGTGTTGTCTTGGCAAAACACACAAAAAGGGAAGTAGCATAAACCATTAGAAGTGCTCAGTCCCCTCTGAGCTCAGACTCTTGCACTGTCCCCTGACTGTCTCCAGTAGCATTAAGGCAATTCTTGAATTTAGCTGTCAATTTTCAAAGTTCATGGCTGATTTACTGAATGTAGGAATAATCTTTACAAGTTGTGTTTCTTTTATTTTCCCTGAATTTACCAAAGATTCTGTAGTACCAAGTGCACATCTGAGCTATTTATGGAAATGAATGCAGCTGCTTGATAAATAAATAAGCAATGCAATTAGGAACTGGTGACAGTGGTGAATTTCACCAGAAATCTTTTTTGAACTTCGAAATGGAGTTAATCAGGGCAGATGATCGTGCCTGATGGTACCTCTGATGTTAGGAGGAAGCTAGAGATGGAGGAAGCACAACACACACCGCAGCTATTGCAAATTGTGCTGAGTGTGCTAAAAGAAGAACCTTGGTTTAAGATTTTCTCTCTAGTGTGGTGGGAATGTGGGTACTGGGCAAGCTTGCAGTGCTGGCCATGCTGGTGCAATCCAGTGAGAAAGCTGCTGTGGGTCTCCCTGGGGGTCTCAGAAGGGGCAAGGCTCAGGAGCACAGGCAGGGCCAGGGAGCTGTGCTGTGCTGTGGGTGCTGTCCCCGCTCCCACGTGCCTGGCTGGGTGTCTGGGGCTGGCTGAAGGGAACCCTCTCCCCCAGGCACTGGGACACTTCTCAGTCTGTGCTTGCTCAGGGCTGCTCTGACCCTTCTCTGCATCCCCACAGAGGAGCCCTGCCTGGCAGCCTGTGGGGCGGGTGCCAGGTGGAGCCGCTCAGTTTGTCACAGAATGTAGTGGAGGGAAATGAGATGAAGAGTGGAATTAGGATGACGAAGGATGAATTAGGATGAAGAAATAAAGTCGTGTTCCCACTGCAGGAAGCAGTAAGGGAGTAACTGCACTGGCACCAGACGTGGTGCTGGTGCTCCCTTTCTGCATGGCTCTGGGGAGGGGGGTCAGTCAGTGCAGTGTAACCTCTGCAGTGCCTCAGTTCCTCACTGCTGTGCCTTCCAGACCCCTCGGGGCTGGTGTGTAAGGACAGAGGGCCGAGCGAGCCGTGTCTCTCCTCAGCTGCTCCTCGGGGTGCTGGTGAGGACCGTGTCCCCTCTGACAGCAGCTGAGAATGGATGTGTGTCCTGGGAATGTCACTGTGGCTGTGGCCCTGCCAGCCTGGTGACACTGTGGGTGTGTCCTGTCTGCAGCTGCAGTTAGTAAGGGGAAGAGCAGAAGTGTGAACAACTCTATACACATTAACAGATCACTTTGAATCCAAAAAGGCAAAATCCAGGATGCTGTAGTGAGGAGGCAGCAGTCGGTGACCGCAGGTATTGCATTGGCTGGATCATAGGGGATGTTCTCCTGGCACGTGTTCTGGAGGACATGGCAGGAGAGCCAGCAGGTGCACAGAGCAGAGCAGATCTGCAGGTGCACAGAGCAGTGTGTGCAGGTACATGCAGCAGTGTGTGCAGGTACATGCAGCAGTGTGTGCAGGTACATGCAGCAGTGTGTACAGGTACATGCAGCAGTGTGTACAGGTACATGCAGCAGTGTGTACAGGTACATGCAGCAGTGCAGATCTACAGGTACATGCAGCAGTGCAGATAAGGGGGTGTATTTCCTGTTAAAGCTCTCAAGGGCAGCGCGGGCTCCTTTGGCCACAGCGTCTGGACACCTCAAGGGCAGAGTTGTATTTCTGTCTTGCAAAACCCTCCAGTAATTGTTTCATTTCTCTTTACTGTCTAGCAGTCCCTGTGCTCTCTTGAAATCTGAAATTCAACAGCTTCATTTTTCTGATAAGCTAAATTTTTCATTCCCTTTTTGTTTCTGATTTTTTAGATGAGGGTCTGCATTATTCTGACCCCATAAGCTTTTAGCATTAAAAGGTTACACTGTGAAGTCTCTGTGCAAACCCTGATACTCACATGGAAACTCAGACAATGCTTTGAGCTCTTTGCATGTAGTATCATTTTCAGATCTAGCTTAAATATTAATTTTTTTAATTAAGCCTCAGAATTTCCCCACGGAGATCCTTCCTATCTCCAAATTACCATGTCGGAGTGGTGGATACGAGGGGAAATGTTAGGATCAGATAAAAACAGTTTAAGAACTGAAATATAATGACAAAAAGATTGCAATGAAAAGAAGAATAATAACCAAGAGAGATAAATAAACCCCAAGAAAAACAAGTGGTGGGTCAGCTGTCCTGGCAGTGCCCACCCCAGCTCCTTATGCCCCTCTGTGCTGGCAGGGCATGAGAAGCAGGAAAGTCCTTGACTTGGTGCAAGCCCTGCTCAGCAACAGCTAAACCATCAGGATTGTTCTCATCCCAAACCCAAACACGGCTGTGTACCAGCTACTGGGAGAAAATTCACTCTTCCCTAGCTAAAATCAGGGCACTAGGTAAATAAAACATTTTAACAATCAGTAATTTTGTTGTCCTAAAACTAGATTTTTAAAAGTAGTAAAATGTGTTTCAGATAAAGAAATTGTTCCCTTTAATATTCTATTTTAATGGTAAAATTTGTCATTTAAATATTTTACTTTAAATTCTATTTCTGATGTTTTAAACTATGAGTTTTATATAGTTACATTTCGTCAGTCGTAAATTAAAACAAAAGTAGTTGCTAAGAAAAGATACTTTTCTTAAGACAGAGAAGAGGAATCCTTGCCTGTGTGTCCTCCATCTGTGCTGGCTCAGCCTCACAGGTGTGGAGCAGTTTCTGTACAGCTTTCTGTAGTTAGTTACAGCTGCTGCTTTGTGCTCTGAGTTGCGAGTGGTTTGCAGAAAGTATGGATGTTCACCTTATTTGCCAATTTAAGCAATAAAATCGCAGCGGCAGTTAATTGAGAGCGTTGGCGGGGGGCAGGAGCAGGTGATGGAAGGCAGGGTCTCACCTGGACAGAAGTGCGGGATGGCGCCTGTGGTTCCTCCTCAGCTGCGACACACGGACAGACGGACAGGACGAGCCCTTCGCAGCTGCCCTGGCACGAAAAAGGGCCGGGGAGCTGCAGCCTGGGAATGCCAGGTCCCGGTCCCTGTCCCTGTCCCGGTCCCTGTCCCGGTCCCGGCCCCGTGCGCGCTCCCGCGGAGGCTGTGCCGGGCTCGGCGCTCCCGCCCGGGGGATTGGGCAGATCGGCGCTCCCGCCGGGCGGGGGATTTCGGAGCGGAAGGGGAAGGGCTGGGGCCGTGCCCTGCCCTCCCAGCTGGTGCCGGGCTCCGGGAGCTGCCGCTGCCCGGGCCGGGCCAGGGACGCTGAGCGGCGGCCGGGAGGGACACAAGTGCAGCTGGCACCGACAGCAGGGAGCGTCCCAACTGCGCGGCTGGAGCCTGCTTTTCCTAAACTGTTCCCAGGGCTGGCTGCGACCTTTCCTGTGACGCATCCTGCCCCGGGACTGCTGCTCCGTGCATGGGAGGGCTCTGAACTGGAGCCACGGGCTTGCGTGGTGCCTGCCCCGGGCGTGCTCAGACTGGGAGATGGATGCTGGGGATACCTGATGGGTCTTTGGTGTTTGGCTGCTTTTTTTCCTCTTCTTCTTCTTTTTTTTTTTTTTTTTTTTTTTTTTTAATCCTACTCACCTGCCTGGCTTCCTCCTTTTCTATTCCTCCCATAGGTTTACTGGCAGGCTTTGAAATCAAGCACAGAATTAGTGAAAATGTGTGGTAATAGAAAAGCTAATATCTTTGTGGATGTGGTAAAGGAGTATATTCTGAGAGGGAGCTGAGGTTGGGGGAGAGAAATTGAACTTTATATGTTTATTTTAAAATAAATGAAATATGTAAATTGTGTATCTTAGAGCTCATAAACATCTAGTGCATGACTTGAGCTCTGCTTGACAGTGTGTTACCCAAACCCTCCAGTAAATATACAATTCCTCATGGGCATTCCTTTTGTGAGGATTTATCTGTATACAAGGAGGGCCCAAAGGCACAAAGAAATGAATGTACCTTCTGTGATGTGTTGATGTCGTGTGAAGTCCTTCCCTCAGGGCCAGTGCGTGTCAGCCTGAACCTCCAGTTCCTTCCTTCCCCCCAATTTCATTGAATCTCTCAGTGCAATGGGGGATATCTTGAGAGGTAAAACTGTCTGTACGTTTTTGTGAGCACTCTTGCCCCTCTCTCATTTCTGAGACTCCCAACTCGAGCTGTGGTGGTCAGTTCATGGCTTTGGGGTGATGGATTTGGTTGTTGGTTTATGGGTCAGGCAGGACAGTGCACGAGGCTTCTCAGGTCTTCCCCAGAAGGCACCAGTCAGCCAAATTTTCCATCTCTTTCTGTCCACCCCATGGTCATTTCTTGAAGTGAGGACAAGAGGAATAGGTCAGGTAAGGCTTTGTCTTTAAAAACCTTTGGCCCTCTGAGACAGAGTTTGTAATTAATTCTAAAAACCCCAAAACTTTGACTTTTTTTTTTTTTTTTTTTATTTCTGTGCTTCCTTTCCCCAGAAACAGCAGCAGAAGCCTCAATATCCCTTTTGGGACCAGGGTCAGCTTTCAGAGTGTGACCTACAACAAACTTTTTCCAACAGCTTCCTCATCTAAGCCTAAAATTAAAATAAGCAATGTTCCAGTTGTGTCCAGATGGAATCCTTGCAGGAAAGGAAGAGAAGTGCAGTTTGGCCAAGACAACTGAGTTTGAAAGAGGAATATAAAATAAAGGGTAAGAGGAACTTCTGGCAAAGCAGAATTGTCCCCCAACCTTGATGGAATCTCTCCCTCCCATGGGCACTTCTGTTGAAGGTCATTGTTCAGAGACTTAGTGAAATTTGGAGAAAATAACTGAAACATTCAGAAGTTCTTGCCATTATTTCAAGTGTCTGAGAATTTAGCCAAGAGCTGAATATGCTTTTTTGCTGATTCATCAGAAAAATCATGACTTGACCCTGCAGCCAACACTTTGGGTCAAACTGCCAACCTCTGTGTGATGGAAGTGGCCTTTGCTATGGTCTAATATGGTAAATGTGTCGCTGCAGGGCTGGCCTCTGCTGGGGTGACATCCATGTGTGGTACATCTTTGGGGTTTGATTGCCTGTTTTTTATTCCCTGTTTGAAAAACTGGATTTGAATGGGGAGTCTGACTTGGAAAATTCCACCTGGCTTAAAAGAGGTTCTCAGTGGTCTCTGATACCCAGTTCCTTTCCCAGCGTTTTAGATCAGATTCTGAGTTGCTCTTGTGCCACCTAGAAATGGGGCTGGGAAGTTGTAAAGTAGATAAATCAGTTTGGATCGTAGCGGTTTGGATGTTCTTTTCTATGCCTCCCCCTGCTGCACTCTCCGCCCAGGAAAAACCAGAGAATGCTCCGAGACAGAAAGTGTGGCCTCTTGTTCTTGTCAGCCCTGGTAACCTGTGTGGCTGGGCTGGCTGCTCCTCTGAGCCGTGGGACAGCTCGGGCACATCCCTGCTGCCTCTGCCTGGCTTTGTGCTGGAGCTCTGGCAGCGAGCACTGCCAGGGGTGAGCGCTCCTGGGGCTGCTGCATGGGAGCCCTGCTGGGGCTGGGGGGTGGGAATGTTGAACAAACTGTCCCATTGTGCTGACGTTGTTCCTCTGAGGAAAACACCACCAGTGCCGTATTCATGGCTTCTTTAGAATGTGATGTCACTCATTTACCTGAGTAACTTGGATCGACGTCAGCATGTGCTGCAGTGGATTCCCAGCAGTTGCTTTATGGGGGGCTCAGGTTTGTGCTGGGAAGGCTGACTGGCTTTCCAGGGGCTCAGGTTTGTGCTGGGAAGGCTGGCTGGCTTTCCAGGGGCTCAGGTTTGTGCTGGGAAGGCTGGCTGGCTTTCCAGGGGCTCAGGTTTGTGCTGGGAAGGCTGACTGGCTTTCCAGGGGCTCAGGTTTGTGCTGGGAAGGCTGGCTGGCTTTCCAGGGGCTCAGGTTTGTGCTGGGAAGGCTGGCTGGCTTTCCAGGGGCTCAGGTTTGTGCTGGGAAGGCTGGCTGGCTTTCCAGGGGCGCAGCAAACACCGGAGCCGACGCTCCAGGGAAATCTTGTGCCCCTTCTCTGCACGCCTTCCTGTCAGTCCTGGTTGCTGTGCCTGGTCCCGTGACTTCCAGAACAATTCCCACTGACATTTTGTGAGATGTTTTTAGAACAATTTGTGTTTGGCTCTGCTTATATAATGGTGTTGCCTGCCCAGGATGAAGGGTCGGGGCAGCTGCTGGGCACAGCCTGCCCCTGAGCAGAAGGGTACGTTCCTTCTTCCTAGAGGGGAAATTTCTTTAGGTTAAAGTCAGAAGTTGGTATTTAGTTCTGGCACAGTCCAGCATTGTTTTCTGTGCCTTGCAAAACAAGTGGAACCCAGTGTGGAACCCAGGCTATTTTGAAATAAATGGAGTTGAGGTCTCTGAATGGGCCATGGGACCCTGCTGATTAGGCTTGCAGCAACTCTGTAACTCACCAACTTCATTGCCCAGGAGGAAATACAGATAATGGTGTTTGCTTTGAATGGTGTGTGAAGAACACAACTTTGTGTGTGTTAATGCATTGAGGTAGAGGAGGAAAAGCTTGAAATGCACCTTTCCATGTTAAATGTCCGGGGCTGTAAACAGCCATCCCTTGCCTGGCCTGATGGGGATGTTGCCTGTCTCCCTCACACTGTGCTTTCATCTGACATATTATTTTTCAATTTTTGTTATAGTTTGGTTTTTCTGATGACAATCCTTTTACTTGAAACACAACCCAAATACAAATGAAACAAAACACTTCATGTACTCTCAAGCTGGATACCTGATTTCAACAGTGCATTGTCTGGACAGACTGTTGGCAGTGGAGTTGATCAAAAGTTGTGTGTGTGTATGTGAGTAGTTTATACTTGAGATGTTCATCCTTTATATTTTGAAATTCTGTTGTTGTAGGATTTCCTATAGTATGGCTGTGCTTTTCGGTTTAAAATGGCATTCTTGGTTGAAACTTTTTCAGAATTGTTGAACTAAACCCAAGTGTGTCAGTCAGAGTGCTGCCTGCAGTGAGGAAGGGAAGGGTGCACTCTGAGCAGCGTGGGGAGCCCCAGAGGAAGGGGCAGTGCAGTGTTTGCCAGTGTCAGCTGCCGTCCTGTGATGGATTAAACATTGCAGCACAGATAATTTTTTGCAGTGAGAAATAAGCAGTTGTCCAGGGCAGAGGATTAAGAGCTTAAGGGGCGGGTGGGGCTCCTCAGCTCTGTGTACAGCTTCACCCTGCTGGAATGGCTCTGGCCACCAGGGCAAACCGTGGGCTCGCTCTGTTATACAAACATGGGATTTTTCCAAAATGCCAGCCAAACTGAGTGTTTAAGGATCTAAAGATACTGCTGCTGTTTCCAAAGGTTTAGAAAGCAAGCAGTGAGGGGGGTTGCCAGAAGACCCTGTTCTGTACCATGTACTTTTGGTGGCTTAAGAACAAACTGATAAGACATTTTACCTTCAGCCATACAAGTCTGCTTCTTCCTCCAAAATCCAAAATTCCCTTCTGCTGGTTGTTTTAGTAAGAGAAACCTTTTAATGCTTTGTCTGAGCTCAGGGCCTATGAAACAAATCCTTTTGTATGGTCCTGCTGATGGACTGCTGTCCCAGAGCCTGAGAGGGAGAACACTGCCAGTGTGTCAGAGCATGTCTGGTGACAAAAGGGTTGGGGGTGATTTGGTTCTTCACACGTGGGGTGGCAGCTCTGCAGCCTTTGCTGGCAGGAGTGGGGCTGACAGGTTCTGGCACAGCCAGGTGTGAGTGATACCTGTGCCTGGGGGTGTTACCTGGGCCATTGGCAGACCTGCTAACAGAGCTGGCAGTGCTTCCAGCCCTGCTGAACGGGAAATCACAGATCCTATTGGGTTGGTGGCCAAGCTTTGGGAAAAGCAGGATGAACAAGACAAATATTTTACTAGGATAATCCCCCTAGAAGGCTGGCTAATTACAAAAGTATTGCAGGACTTCTGGTTGGGGTTTTTACCCTGCCAAACCTGCCAGCAAAGCTTTTCTGCTCAGTTTTGTTTGGCTGATGAGTGGATGTCTGTGCAT